TTTTGCCAGGATCCAATACATGGTGTATAAGATCCTCTATAGTATTTACCCTCATGAGCTTATTACTTTTTGATATTTGATAGGGTGCGGCTACATGCCTTATTTTGTGTGATTTGGGACTGATTGTATAGCCCACAGGTTTATGGTATATCCCATGTTGGGATAGCCCCATTTTTGTCCCCCATATTTTTTGCCTTACTTGTAAAGAAACTCTTTTGGATGATATATATAATTACCCTTTATCCAAAAAATTGAAAGCAGCGCCTGAAGACAAGTTTTATAACTCAGTAAGATCTTTCCAACGAGATATTAAACGCTTTCAACGGCACAAAATAGAGAAGGATATGATCGCATCAAATTCTACACGAGTTCGGAGAGAAATAAGAAAAACATTTGTGAATATATGGTTACTCTGTAACTTTTAATTAATGTAATGTAAATGAAGTTGGAACAATAGCTTTAGAGCTCCGATCTATCTTTCCAACGATATATAATACGCCCCAAACGGATAAACACACAGCAGGATATGAGTGTCACAAATACTTAGCCTTATCTCTATGATTTAGCGTTTTCAGCGAAAATAGAGCACTTTTAGCGTAAATACAGTGTATTTTAGTAATTAGGCAATAATCCCTTGATATTTTGAAACCAGCGCCTGAAGACAAGTTTTAGAACTCTGTAAGATATTTCCAACGAGATATTAAACGCTTTCAACGGCACAAATTAGAGCAAGATATGATTGCATCAAATTCTACACGAGTTCGGAGCGAAATCAGAAACATTTGTGAATATATGGTTAATATGTAACTTTTAATTAATGCATTGTAAATGAAGTTGGAACATTAGCTTTAGAGCTCCGATCTATCTTTCCAACAAGATATAATACGCTCCAAACAGATAAACATACAGCAAGATATGAGTGTCACAAATACTTAGCCTTATCTATATGATTTAGCGTTTTCAGCGAAAATAGATCACTTTTAGCGTAAATACAGTGTATTTTAGTAATTAGGAAATCATCCCTTGATATTCTGAAACTAGATCCTGAAGACAAGTTTTATAACTCGGTAAGATCTTTCCAACGAGATATTAAACGCTTCAACGGCACAAAATAGAGCATGATATGATCGCATCACATTCTACACGAGTTCGGAGTAAAATCAGAAATATTTGGGAATATATGGTTAATCTGTAACTTTTAATTAATGCATTGTAAATGAAGTTGGAACAATAGCTTTAGATATCTGATCTATGTTTCCAACGAGATATAATACGCTCTAAACGGATACACACACAGCAAGATATGAGTGTCACAAATACTTAGCCTTATCTCTATGATTTAGCGTTTTCAGCGAAAATAGAGCATTTTTAGCGTAAATACAGTGTATTTTAGTAATTAGGAAATCATCCCTTGCTATTTTGAAACCAGCGCCTGAAGAAAAGTTTTAGAACTTGGTAAGAACTTTCCAACGAGATATTAAACACTTTCAATGGCACAAAATAAAGCAAGATACGATCGCATCAAATTCTACACGAGTTCGGAGTGAAATCAGAAACATTTGTTTATATATGGTTAATCTGTAACTTTTAATTAATGCATTGTAAATGAAGTTGGAACAATAGCTTTAGAGCTCCGATCTATCTTTCCAACGAGATATTATACGCCCCAAACGGATAAACAGACAGCAGGATATGAGTGTCACAAATACTTAGCCTTATCTCTATGATTTAGCGTTTTCAGCTAAAATAGAGCACGTTTAGCGTAAATACAGTGTATTTTAGTAATTAGGAAATAATCCCTTGATTTTTTGAAACCAGCGCCTGAAGACAAGTTTTAGAACTCGGTATGATCTTTCAAACGAGATATTAAACGCTTTCAATGGCACAACAAAGAGCAAGATGTGATCGTATTAAATTCTACACGAGTTCGGAGTCAAATCAGAAACATTTGTGAATATATGGTTAATATGTAACTTTTAACTAATGCATTGTACATGAAGTTGGAACAATAGTTTTAGAGCTCCGATCTATCTTTCCAACGAGATATAATACGCTCCAAACGGATAAACACACAGCAAGATATGAGTGTCACAAATACTTAGCCTTATCTCTATGATTTAGCGTTTTCAGCGAAAATAGAGCACTTTTAGCGTAAATACAGTGTATTTTAGTAATTAGGCAATCGTACCTTGATATTCTGAAACCGGAGCCTGAAGACAAGTTTTAGAACTCGGTAAGATCTTTCCAACGAGATATTAAACGCTTTCAACGGCACAAAATAGAGCATGATATGATCGCATCACATTCTACACAAGTTCGCACTACAAAAAAAATGATTTATAGAGGCAACTCTTCGAGGCAAATTATATTCCGTTGCCACTAAAAGTATGTTTTTGCATCATATAAGTTATGTTTGCCTTTAAAAACTATCATTTGAGACAACCATATTGTAATTGCCTCTAAACCTATCATTTGGGAGCAATCATATTGTGCTTGCCTCTAAAAACTATCATTTGGGAGCAACATTTTTATGTCTGCCTCCAAAGTTTGACACAAAAGCATATGTGCCTCTAAAACATCTGCTTCTAAAAGTTTTTTGAGACAATAACACTTTTACGCCTCTAAAATATATATTTAAGGTTAACTAAATTACGGTTGCCTCTAAATGTGTGTATACACGTAATTGAATTTACACAATAAATTAACATTTTTAAACATGTTTACAGACTTATTATTATTAATTTTATTGGGGACTAAAATTTAATATTTTTGATGCTCACCTTTATATTCCCCTCGACTTAAATTTTCAATTTATTTTGATTATTATTAGTTTTTTTAATTTTTACTAATAAGAAATAAAATATATGAATGACCAAGGTTATACATTAATAAATGTGAGAATAGAAACATTGCAATTAAAAATGAACAAAAAAAGTATTACTTTTTATTAGCGTTGTTTATTACGGAGTACCTTTAATTTTAACTTGAAAAGAGACTAAACATCTCAATTTGCCGCTAAATCTTTTAAGGGTTAGTTTTTGCCGCTCAGATATTTTAAGCTCCCGCACCCGGGCTCTTTTAGTAATATTAGATTTGCCGCTGAAATTTTTATTCTGCCAAGTATCCTTAACCCTAAGACCCAAGAGACTTTTATTTTGCTTCCATCGTTTCTTCTAACTTCAAAGTAGGTCCAAATAAGGGAAAGGGAAACGGCAGGAGGATAGAAGACTCATCGCGAAGGGAAACCGCAGCAGCGAGAGGATAGAAGACTCAATTGGCAAGAAAGATCGGAGATTCAATCCAGCAGCGCTTATAGGTCGATTGCCGCTAACTGCTACAGTCTTTGTTTTAATTTTGAGCGTCAAACCTAGGTCTTTGTTTTAATTCGCCTTCCTCTCCCCCGGAACTAGGATTTCAGCCGTCGAATCCGCTCTTGTGGCAGTCCATCTTCTCTATCCCGGTCTGGAGCTGTGATTCCTGTCGAAGAATATTCATTAGCAGGTTAAATTTGCAGCGGTAACTTCTTTTTTTTTCTTCTCTCTCCCTGGAGCTACTATTCCCGTCGAAGAAGCTAATGGGTTCATTTTAATTTGCAGTGGAGACCCTAAATCCCAACCTGTCTTCGTCTCTCCTGTGGACCTGCGATCAGCGTCAGGGGAAAAATCTCCGCATCAGGTTTCATCTACTGAACTTCTCCTATATTAAGTTTTGAAAATAATCAGTTTTTTCTTAAATTAAATTAGGATTTCTTATTAATAGTTTTCAATTTGAAATTGTTACTATTGAAGAGATTATGTTCTTTAAGTTATCCGGCCTGGCTTCCATTTTCATATTTCCACTGGTCCAGCCTTGCAGGTGAATTAAGGAACTTAAAATCCAACAAGGTCCTTGATACATGATAATGTGATCTTATTCAGTAACATAAAACATTTATATAAAGGTAGTGCTTAATAATTGCATCAAATATATAGGTGAAAACACTTAAGCTTTTACACTTGGTGCACGATTTGAAGTAGTTACATAATCGTTTAGTTTATTTTGTTCATTCTTAGTAATTAGATAAACTGAAATTAACTAGTTACGGGAAAATTTACAAGCTACTGGAAAACCATCTATACATATGTTTTTCTGTTAACAATAAATATGTATGTATTGTAATGATAGGAAAATAAAAATATGGCTATGGACGTTGAATGTATCATGAACCTGCCCGACCTTAACAATCCCATTATCTACTTCTTTCTATTTATTGTACATCCGAATTGTATTTGAAATGATAATTGAAATTTTTTTTCCTGAAAAAAATCCCTGCTTGAAGTTACTGTTGGATCAGGGAGTTTTCGGTATGCTATTGTATTTCGTCATCTGTGGTATTTGTTCATCTTTGCTTATGCGATTGAAGAATTCTATGGTTCACTTTGATCTTTATCGCTTTCATAACCATGCATTCAAATAATTTATTCATCTGCGTAAATAATTTAATTTTTTTATTCATTTGCTTTATGTGATGTTTGAACTTTGAATAACATATTTGATGGGTTTAGACTTTAAGACCTCAATTTTTGTTGGTTTTTATTATGATATTTGTTGATTTTATGATTATTTGAGTAAGTAGGTAATCAGCTTTTCATTTAAAATAATGGAGTTGTAGTTTCAATTTGTTTGTTGAAGTTATACACTATTTATCAGGAGTAAGTAGGTAATCAGCTTTTCATTTAAAATAAAAAGTGAGTGTTCAATAAAAAAAGTGTGGCAGAACATAGTTTCAAATTTTACATAGTTGCAGATTTTACATAAGGTTATTATACACTTCTAGTACAGATTGTATATCCTACCATTACTAGTAAATGCAGATTTTTTATAAGGTTAATTATATTGGTTGCAGGTTCAACTTGTTTCTCATATTCTTTGACTTATACTAATTGCATATATTGTATATTTGGATGCAGTTAAAAATAAATAAGCTTGTAGAGCAGCATGAACAAGGAGAAATCAACATGACAGATGAAGAAATTTATGCAAAAGTTAAACCCAAAGGTAAAAATGATCGTGATCGTGGAAAGGGAGTAAGTCCGTCCATTACTTCCTTGTTTGGGTCGTTTAGTGAAGGAGAGAAATTTCGCAAAGAGGCTGAAGAGGCAAAGAAGGAAGCTAATGAGGCTAAAAAAGAAGCTCACGAAGCTAAGGCAAAAAATAAAATGCTCACTAAGGAGGTGAAAATTTTCAAAAAAGAAGTAAGAATTATGAAGGGTGTTATGGGGAAGTTTTTCAACCTTATGGGAGGCGATTTTTCAAAGTTATTTTTGAATGAGGTAATGCATTATTTTATTTTCCATTATTTTTGGTTTATATTTTTTTAGTTACCGAAAATACTTGTCTACCGTTATTATATGTTATAGGTTGAAAAGGAGCATAAAAAAGTCCATGATGATGATAGTAGTGATGGTGATGGTGATGATGATGATGATGATGATGGTGGTGATGATGATGACAATGATGATGATGATGATGATGGTGACGATGATGATCGTGATGATTGTGATGATAGTGATGCTGATGATGAGGAATGAACTTTCTTAAACATTTATTTTAGCTTGTAGACATACTTTGTCCCATCTTAATGTTTTTAGTAGTTGCTAAATTAACTCTAGCTAGCTAGTTTCTTTTTTTCTTAAGTTGTGGAGGTGCAGATGAGATTGAACAAATTAAACAATGTACTGGTGCAGTTACTCTTTAAGTAATTAATTTAAGCTAAATTTTGACTTTCTATATTATTCTACAAAGCAAGCATTTAATTAATTTATTGATGCATGTTATTAGCTATTAATTTATTTATATATTAATATATCTAAAGTACAACGAGCAATGTATGGTATATTAATATACGACAAAATGACAATGATATATTGCTGCCTCTAAAAACAATTCACAACAATACTAAAAGTTGTCTCGCAATATTATTTAAAGCACAATGTAATATAGCCTCTAAAAACTTTTTGAGTCATTAAATATGGTTGACTCTAATTGCATTATAAGACAACATAGCATGGTTGCCTCGAATGACATTTTGAGGTGAAATAATATGGTTGCCTCTAAATATGACTTTTTAGAAGCACGTCCTTTGTTGCCTCTAAAGGGGTTTTTTAGAGGCAAACACCATTTAGCGACCGATTTTTTGTTGGCAACCACTAAATTGCCTCCAAAAACCTTTAGAGGCTATTTTCTTATATTTAGAGGCAATTATGTAATGCCTCTACAAGCCAATTTTATTGTAGTGTCGGAGTGAAATCAGAAACATTTGTGAATATATGAATAATCTGTAACTTTTAATTAATGCATGGTAAATGAAGTTTGAACAATAGATTTAGAGCTCCGATCTATCTTTCCAAAGAGTATTAATACGCTCCAAACGGATAAACACACAGCAAGATACGAGTGTCACGAATACTTAGCCTTATCCATATGATTTAGCGTTTTCAGCGAAAATAGAGCACTTTTAGCGTAAATACAGTGTATGTTAGTAATTATGCAATCATCTCTTGATATTTTGAAACCAGCGCCTGAAGACAAGTTCTAGAACTCGGTAAGATCTTTCCAACGAGATATTAAACGCTTTCAGAGGCACAAAATAGAGGAAGATATGATCGCATCAAATTCTACACGAGTTCGGAGGGAAATCAGAAACATTTGTGTATATATGGTTAATCTGTAACTTTTAATTAATTCATTGTAAATGAAGTTGGAACAATAGCTTTAGAGCTCATATCTATCTTTCCAACGAGATATAATACGCCCAAAACAGATAAACACACCGCAGGATATGAGTGTCACAGATACTTAGCATTATCTCTATGATTTAGCGCTTTCAGCGAAAATAGATCACTTTTAGCGAAAATACAGTGTATTTTAGTAATTAGGCAATCATCCCTTGATATTTTGAAACCATCGCCTGAAGACAAGTTTGAGAACTGGGTAAGGTCTTTCAAACGAGATATTAAACGCTTTCAACGGCACAAAATAGAGCAAGATATGATCGCATCAAATTCTACACGAGTTCGGAGTGAAATCAGAAACATTTGTGAATACATGGTTAATCTGTAACTTTTAATTAATGTATTGTAAATGAATTTGGAACAATAGCTTTACAGATCCGATCAATCTTTCCAACGCGATATAATACGCTCCAAACGGATAAACACACAGCAGGATATGACTGTCAAAAATACTTAGCCTTATCTCTATGATTTAGCGTTTTCAGCTACAATAGAGCACTTTTAGCGTAAATACAGTCTATTTTAATAATTAGGAAATAATCCCTTGATATTTTCAAACCAGCGCCTGAAGACAAGTTTTAGAAATCGGTAAGATCTTTCCATCGAGATATTAAACGCTATCAACGGCACAAAATAGAGCAAGATATGATCGCATCACATTCTACACGAGTTCGGAGCGAAATCAGAAACATTTGTGAATATATGGTTGATATGTAACTTTTAATTAATGCATTGTAAATCAAGTTTGAACAATAAATTTATAGCTCCGATCAATCTTTCCAACGAGATATAATACGATCCAAACGGATAAACACAGAGCAAGATATGAGTGTCACAAATACTTAGCCTTATCTCTATGATTTAGCGTTTTCAGCAAAAATAGAGCACTTTTAGCGTAAAAACAGAGTATTTTAGTAATTAGGCAATCATCCCTTGATATTTTGAAACCAGCGCCTGAAGACAAGTTTTAGAAATCGGTAAGATCTTTCAAACGATATATTAAACGCTTTCAACGGCACAAAATAGAGCATGATATGATCGCATCACATTCTACACGAGTTCGGAGTGAAATCAGAAACATTTGAGAATATATGGTTAATCTGTAACTTTTAATTAATGCATTGTAAATGAAGTTGGAAAAATAAATTTATAGATCCGATCTATCCTTCCAACAAGATATAATACGCTCCAAACGGATAAACACACAGCAAGATATGAGTGTCACAAATACTTAGCCTTGTCTCTATGATTTAGCGTTTTCAGCAAAAATAGAGCCATTTTAGCGTAAATACAGTGTATTTTAGTAATTAGGCAATCATCCCTTGATATTTTGAAACTAGCGCCTGAAGACAAGTTTTAGAAATCGGTAAGATCTTTCAAACGAGATATTAAATGCTTTCAACGGCACAAAATAGAGCATGATATGATCGCATCAAATTCTACACGAGTTTGGAGTGAAATAAGAAACATTTGTGAATATATGGTTAATATGTAACTTTTAATTAATGCATTGTAAATGAAGTTGGAACAATAAATTTAGAGATCCGATCTATCCTTCCAAAAAGATATAATACGCTTAAAACGGATAAACACACAGCAAGTAATGAGTGTCACAAATACTTAGCCTTATCTCTATGATTTAGCGTTTTCAGAGAAAATAGAGCAGTTTTAGCGTAAATACAGTGTATTTTAGTAATTAGGCAATCATCCCTTGATATTCTGAAACCAGCGCCTGAAGACAAGTTTTAGAAATCGGTAAGATCTTTCCAACGAGATATTAAACGCTTTCAACGGCAAAAATTAGAGCAATATATGATCGAATCAAATTCTACACGAGTTCGGAGTGAAATCAGAAACATTTGTGAATATATGGTTAATATGTAACTTTTAATTAATTCATTGTAAATGAAGTTGGAATAATAGCTTTAGAGCTCCGATCTATCTTTCTAACGAGATATAATACGCTCCAATCGGATAAACACACAGCAAGATATGAGTGTCACAAATACATAGTCTTATCTCTATGATTTAGCGTTTTCAGCTAAAATAGAGCACTTTTAGCGTAAATACAGTGTATTTTAATAATTAGGAAATAATCCCTTGATATTTTCAAACCAACGCCTGAAGACAAGTTTTAGAAATCGGTAAGATCTTTCCATCGAGATATTAAACGCTTTCAACGGCACAAAATAGAGCAAGATATGATCGCATCACATTCTACACGAGTTCGGAGCGAAATCAGAAACATTTGTGAATATATGGTTGATATGTAACTTTTAATTAATGCATTGTAAATCAAGTTTGAACAATAAATTTATAGCTCCGATCAATCTTTCCAACGAGATATAATACGATCCAAACGGATAAACACAGAGCAAGATATGAGTGTCAAAAATACTTAGCCTTATCTCTATGATTTAGCGTTTTCAGCAAAAATAGAGCACTTTTAGCGTAAAAACAGAGTATTTTAGTAATTAGGCAATCATCCCTTGATATTTTGAAACTAGCGCCTGAAGACAAGTTTTAGAAATCGGTAAGATCTTTCAAACGAGATATTAAACGCTTTCAGAGGCACAAAATAGAGGAAGATATGATCGCATCAAATTCTACACGAGTTCGGAGGGAAATCAGAAACATTTGTGTATATATGGTTAATCTGTAACTTTTAATTAATTCATTGTAAATGAAGTTGGAACAATAGCTTTAGAGCTCAGATCTATCTTTCCAACGAGATATAATACGCCCAAAACGGATAAACACACCGCAGGATATGAGTGTCACAGATACTTAGCATTATCTCTATGATTTAGCGCTTTCAGCGAAAATAGATTTCTTTTAGCGAAAATACAGGGTATTTTAGTAATTAGGCAATCATCCCTTGATATTTTGAAACCATCGCCTGAAGACAAGTTTGAGAACTGGGTAAGGTCTTTCAAACGAGATATTAAACGCTTTCAACGGCACAAAATAGAGCAAGATATGATCGCATCAAATTCTACACGAGTTCGGAGTGAAATCAGAAACATTTGTGAATACATGGTTAATCTGTAACTTTTAATTAATGTATTGTAAATGAATTTGGAACAATAGATTTACAGATCCGATCAATCTTTCCAACGCGATATAATACGCTCCAAACGGATAAACACACAGCAGGATATGACTGTCAAAAATACTTAGCCTTATCTCTATGATTTAGCGTTTTCAGCTACAATAGAGCACTTTTAGCGTAAATACAGTGTATTTTAATAATTAGGAAATAATCCCTTGATATTTTCAAACCAGCGCCTGAAGACAAGTTTTAGAAATCGGTAAGATCTTTCCATCGAGATATTAAACGCTATAAACGGCACAAAATAGAGCAAGATATGATCGCATCACATTCTACACGAGTTCGGAGCGAAATCAGAAACATTTGTGAATATATGGTTGATATGTAACTTTTAATTAATGCATTGTAAATCAAGTTTGAACAATAAATTTATAGCTCCGATCAATCTTTCCAACGAGATATAATACGATCCAAACGGATAAACACAGAGCAAGATATGAGTGTCACAAATACTTAGCCTTATCTCTATGATTTAGCGTTTTCAGCAAAAATAGAGCACTTTTAGCGTAAAAACAGAGTATTTTAGTAATTAGGCAATCATCCCTTGATATTTTGAAACCAGCGCCTGAAGACAAGTTTTAGAAATCGGTAAGATCTTTCAAACGATATATTAAACGCTTTCAACGGCACAAAATAGAGCATGATATGATCGCATCACATTCTACACGAGTTCGGAGTGAAATCAGAAACATTTGAGAATATATGGTTAATCTGTAACTTTTAATTAATGCATTGTAAATGAATTTGGAAAAATAAATTTATAGATCCGATCTATCCTTCCAACAAGATATAATACGCTCCAAACGGATAAACACACAGCAAGATATGAGTGTCACAAATACTTAGCCTTGTCTCTATGATTTAGCGTTTTCAGCAAAAATAGAGCCAT